ACCTTTTCAAACCCCACCCTTCCTTGTGGGAAGGCAGCATCGCTGCAGATGCTGGTTGTCTGAAGAAAACACTTTACTGCCGTCACACCTCTGTACAGTCAGCAGTAGGACTTCGCCTTCGGACTTTGGGTTTGCCGCTTTCAGTCTTGTTGTTCTTCAACCGGCCTTTCTGACATGGTAGAAACTTGAAAAACGATTGTTCCAGTCAGCATAGCTCAGTTGCTTCATCACGATAGGCAAGCCTGACCACCACATCAATGTAGCAACAACGGTCAGGACTTCCGTCTCGTTAGGTGGGTGACTCGTCACGGGCCATGGAGGGCATGACGGTCTGATCGATATCTCCGGGGCAACAGACCGGTTGAACTGCTTCTCTGAAAACTGCCCATCGTCCAGGACGTCGGTAGATGTTAGTGATTGACATCCCGTCATCACCGGTTGTTTCACTTACACCAGACTTCTTAATGCCCGTAACTCGTACGAGCTGAAAGAGCTTTTGGCAGCTACCAGACACAGCTGCTGCTGTCAACTCCTTAGTACGCTCTGTTTAGGACGAATTCGTTAGCCACTGAAACGTAAGGTAAGATCAGCGCAAAACAAGAGCATGATCGGAGTTCAGTTAGGTACTCCAAAAGGCGCTGCAGTCTCGTATACCACCACGCCAGCGGACGCGATGTAACCAATCTGAGTCCAGGTTTGAGATGTAGAGGGAGGACACTAAGTAGCACGTCGGCAATGACTGTACCGGTAGTTAGCACTAGCCAGAAACAGGTTATAGTTTGCGCAGTTACAGCAGACAGTCACTGTTATCTGACCTGAAACCAACAAGTCCCCACCAGCCACTTAAACTACTCTATTCTGTACCCAGACGCCCGACATGAGCGTTCATATCTCCGACTAGTACCATAATATCTGTCGAACGCACATTCTGTAGACGAACGGTTAACTAGTGGAGAAACTCATCCTTGATCGCACCTGGGTCGCAATCTGTCGTAACGTAAACGGAGATGACGAAACGGCATCAGTTCTCATACCGATTTCTTCTCATTTTGATGGAGCTCCCTAACCAAACAACACATAGCCGACTGTTAATGTGGATACAATCGACCAGTGCTGCTTAAGCTCTAGCGCTTAGTGAGACATCAACGTCAGCAAAACCAGACAATGCCACAGGGTCTGTGGATAAACGTACGTGAAACAAGCTTTCAGAAGCGACAGATGGAGAGGGAATTTGTAGTACTTCACTAGAGTCTTGAATACGGGTCTCGGACAGACAACAAACGTCGATGTTGAGACTTTCTAAAAACATAACCAGCCCAATATGTTGTCCGATTTGGATTGGTGTGCGAACGCTGAAGGAGGCCCGTTTGAATAGTATACGTGGTTTTGGAGAGACTGGTTTAGTATTAGTAGCAATCAGCTTTCGACTAGTTAGCAGCTTGAGGCCGTTTAGATAGGACAGGGTTTTCATCATGGACGAGCTGCTGTAAAAGTTGAAATACGCAAAATGATGATAAAGGGGAATAAATAAGTGACGAAGTATAAAAGAAATAAAAACGGATGTTATCAAATGATTGTGAATATGATTTGTCTGGATGAGCGTTGAAGCAAGAGTGATCCGTCCAGTAATAATTATAACTGATTTGTGTGTGAGCTAAAATACTGCCCGGGTTTTTATCAGTTAATTAATTAATTTGTTTATTGTTTTAAACATATAAATATTGGTACGAGGCACCAAATATATATACACCACACATTCGGTGTGAGGGATGGGATACTGCCCGTAATCCCAAACCGAGACAGGATAACATATGTGAGAAAATGTTAACAGCCTAGTGAAATACAATGAGTTATTCAGCTTAAATCTCATACATTAACCCAAATTTATGATCAAGAATAATAAAAAGTCCAGTTGCAGTTGAAGGCAGATGTTCAGTACCTGAATACTCTGATACGGCCGAGGGTGGGGAAAGTCAGCAATCCCTCTCAAAACGCTCTCACATGGCCACGCGTATTCAGCCACTGCCAGGGAAGACCTAATCGCTGCGGTGTGGGTGTTGTTTACGAAATTGAGGAAGAAAAGTAAATGTCCGGCGCTTTGATCGGGTTGGTGAATATGGATGGTTCGCCTGTGGGAGTTGGTAAACCCTGATTCCAAACCAATAGTGCACATGAGATCCATAATCTTGAAGGGACAAATAGACTATGAACTAATTATTGGTCATCGTCTACTACGTGACTGCACGTCCTTACGTTGCCCTACTGCCTAGTGGATCAGATCTTTAGGTCGAAGGCTCGAGGTTTAAACCCCTACGAAAATCACCTGTTTCGGCTTAGGCATATATGAGATATACCACACAATGAAAACGGACTACACTATTCAGAAACCAAATGTTCACAACAGAATGTCTGTTGGCAGATTGAACTCGAAATTCATGTAATAACTAGTGAAAAGCATTTATATTGATTAATTAACACACAACAAAAAAAATAAAATTCGGAAAATGATTTAACATATCGTGTCCTAGAAACATTGAAACACTAAACGAGAAATAACCAAACCCATTTCAATTAGTATTCCCTAAACACGGACAAATTCGATATGCTAGTTTCTGAACCAGACTATTTGACTGGTAGTCAGTCACGGTGTAGAACCTGGTACGTATGTACACCGACTTGAGTTGTCATACCGCATGAGAACAGCGAGACCACATTTTTTGGACAAATCTCATAGTGGAGGTAATAACAGTATTGGTTACAATAGAAAAGATAAGGCATCGAAGATACGATTCAAACGAAGCTGACAACTGTTAAAACTAAAGTAAATTGAATGAGATTTACATCAGTGACCTAGTGACTGACAGTATGGTGATTTATTGAGCACCTTTCAAAACCGGTATGAACAGTGATCAATTAACAAGCATTTTTTTATTCAACGGTAAGTAATACTTCTCATGAGAAATTTAACAATCGAGGATTTGAATGATCGATAATGCATATGGTACGTACATTCACGTTAATAACTGATCATTGTCATGTTGGTAGAATAGACTGAAGTTGAATATTGTATTTGTACATAGAGACTGACTGAAAACTGAATTGAATCGAGATTACAATAACGCCTTGTGTACTTCGTGCTAGACGTAGTGCAGAGTCGGAAAACATGTATACTATTAATGAAGGATTTATTGGAAATGTTCGGTGTTTAGAATGCTTGAAATCAGCAAAAATATCTATTTGCTGTCAATTGGTGGATTTAAGATAGTGTTCAAGCCAAGTTACACAACATACCCGCTCCTGAGGCAGACTGCGTGTTAAAGTACTTGATATGATGCAATCTATGGTGAAGAATGCTTCGTGAAGCTAGATGCCATACTCCCACTATAATTCTTACTTTTGACTTCTGTTACTCAAGTCTGTAGACAGAAGGATGACGGAGCATTGAATCATAGCTGATGTCAGTTTGTGATGAAAACCCTAATCGGGCGAGACTCTAATTTAGCGACGAGCCAATCAGAAGCGTTTGAGCAATTTCAAGGTCACGGAGCCAAGTTCAACACGCGATGCTAACATACGGTCGGTTCACAGCGGATTTTAGAGAGGAGGTGATTAATGAGAGGTTAAAACAGATGGGACGGCGAAACTCTAATTTAGGGACTAGCCAATGAGAAGCGTTTGAGCGATTTCAATTATTAGCCAATCAGAAGACAGTATAAAGTAAAAATATATTACAAGAAAGTAATGAATTATAGCGGATATTCTTCTTTTACATGATTTAAAAGCTTGTTGAGGTTTGATAAAGGCTCAGAAGTTCTGAATTCATAATGCATATTGTATAGAAACTCGTCAATAGGGTTAGGGTTTGGGGTTAAAATTAGGGTTAAGGGTTAGACTAGGGTTTAGGGCTAAGGTTAGGGTTTTGGGTTAGATTAGGGTTTAGGGTTAGATTAAGGTTAGGGTTTGGGGTTAGGTTAGGGTTTAGGGTTATTGTTAGGGTTAGATTAGGGTTTAGGGCTAAGGCTAGGGTTATGGTTAGGTTATGGTTAGATTAAGGTTAAGGTTAGGGTTATGTTAAGGTTAGGGTTAGATTAGGGTTTAGGGTTAGGTTAGGGTTAGGGTTAGATTAGGGTTAGGTTAAGGTTAGGGTTAGATTAGGGTTAAGGGTTAGGTTAAGGTTAGGGTTAGATTAGGGTTTAGTGTTAGGTTAAGGTTAGGGTTTAGGGTTAGGTTAGTATTAGGGTTCTAACATGCGATCGGATTTTAGAGAAGAGGTGTCTATTGACAGGGTACAACCCTAACCACCAACTCAATGGACGAGTTTCTATACAAAATGCATTATGAATTCAGAGCCTCTGGACCTTCATCAAAGCTTAACAAGCTTTTAAATCATGTAAAAGAAGAATATCCACTGTAATTCATTACTTACAATATATTCTCACTTTATACTAACTGTCTTCTGATTGGCTAATAATTGTCAAGGTCATTTAAGATTCGTTCAAAGGTCGTCGCTAAATTAGAGTCTCGCCCCTAATCGCACTTTGTAAACTCATCTCATAACTCCAGTTTATATGCGATTACCTGACCCTCACCTCTTTGCATCATCGCTGACGTGAGTTAGTGAAGATTCTATAGGCTGATAACACTAACTCACAATACTAACCCGATTCCTAAGCTTCTTCTTCTGTAATAGTTCGATATGTGGGAGTGGATTATTCACATCAAAATATTATCTCACTGTTACGTTATTGCTTTCATTTTTCAACTTTGTAACTAGGTAGCGTTTTCTAGTTAGCTGCTAGGTCTTTAAACGTCGTCAGTACAATGTACATTTACCTGGAAACCTTTTAACCTTATAAGTTGCTACAACATGTATTGAGTACGGCTCACTGAGACGTGAAATTTGCATAGCTAGAAAGATTTCCAGGTTGATATGATAATATAACGTTTCAATATATAAATAGAACTAGCTACACAACAGCATAAAGGATTTAGGAACATACCGCCCATTCGAACCGCGAGGTCAGATCACTGTAGTAAAACCACACAATTGACGCGCTACAATCTTCAAACGACAATGATCCGTGATCAATCTTGATATGTGTGTGTTCAATATTAATCAGATAAATAGATACGTTTTCTTTTCAATTAGTAAGTCCAGTGAGATTATTTGGTCGAAAGTAGCTACAGTGTAGAACGGACAGTGTTTGAAGCGTTCAAATTAATCGTAGTTTATGCAGGTCATATGTTTCTAAACAAGTATCAATGTCTAGTAGAGTTATAGTGAAATCGTATGGAGGACACAATCCATTATTATTCCCTGAAAATGCAAAAGTCATTGTCTCTTGCATAAAGCAGATATGTTTGGACAGCTTCAAAGAAGAGGGACCGAAGTGGTTTAAAGACATCACAGGTTTCCGGGGTTTCACAACTCCTTTACGCGTAACACCTGAATGATGGAAATGTGCCAACCCAGTCAAATCGGAAACGAAGAGGTTCGAAGATATATTCACAGCTCTATAGATTTGAAATAGTGTCACTTACATACGGAATACATGTCGGTGTGCTCGGTTATGAACCAGACTTTTTGACTGGTAGTCAGTCACGGTGTAGAACCTGGTACGTATGTACACCGACTTGAGTTGTCATACCGCATGAGAACAGCGAGACCACATTTTTTGGACAAATCTCATAGTGGAGGTAATAACAGTATTGGTTACAATAGAAAAGATAAGGCATCGAAGATACGATTCAAACGAAGCTGACAACTGTTAAAACTAAAGTAAATTGAATGAGATTTACATCAGTGACCTAGTGACTGACAGTATGGTGATTTATTGAGCACCTTTCAAAACCGGTATGAACAGTGATCAATTAACAAGCATTTTTTTATTCAACGGTAAGTAATACTTCTCATGAGAAATTTAACAATCGAGGATTTGAATGATCGATAATGCATATGGTACGTACATTCACGTTAATAACTGATCATTGTCATGTTGGAAGAATACACTGATGTTAAAGAGTTTTATTTTAATTAGTTTATAAATTTACAGAAATTTTATCATCAGGTATGGTGGCATGAATTATATTGTGAATACGTATTTCATGAATTATAAGTTAATAATTTTGTTCAAATTGCCTGTTTCGCAATATCTCCGGAATGGTTGGTGGTATCGTTGTGAAAATTGATTTATATTATTGGCGACGATCTCACCTATCAGACAAAACAAACAAAATTTGAAAATTGTTGGTGTAAGTGCCTGTTTCGCAATATCTCCGGAATGGTTGGTGGTATCGTTGTGAAAATTGATTTATATTATTGGCGACGATCTCACCTATCAGACAAAACAAACAAAATTTGAAAATTGTTGGTGTAAGTGCCTGTTTCGCAATATCTCCGGAATGGTTGGTGGTATCGTTGTGAAAATTGTTTTATATTATTGGCGACGATCTCACCTATCAGACAAAACAAACAAAATTTGAAAATTGTTGGTGTAAGTGCCTGTTTCGCAATATCTCCGGAATGGTTGGTGGTATCGTTGTGAAAATTGTTTTATATTATTGGCGACGATCTCACCTATCAGACAAAACAAACAAAATTTGAAAATTGTTGGTGTAAGTGCCTGTTTCGCAATATCTCCGGAATGGTTGGTGGTATCGTTGTGAAAATTGATTTATATTATTGGCGACGATCTCACCTATCAGACAAAACAAACAAAATTTGAAAATTGTTGGTGTAAGTGCCTGTTTCGCAATATCTCCGGAATGGTTGGTGGTATCGTTGTGAAAATTGTTTTATATTATTGGCGACGATCTCACCTATCAGACAAAACAAACAAAATTTGAAAATTGTTGGTGTAAGTGCCTGTTTCGCAATATCTCCGGAATGGTTGGTGGTATCGTTGTGAAAATTGTTTTATATTATTGGCGACGATCTCACCTATCAGACAAAACAAACAAAATTTGAAAATTGTTGGTGTAAGTGCCTGTTTCGCAATATCTCCGGAATGGTTGGTGGTATCGTTGTGAAAATTGATTTATATTATTGGCGACGATCTCACCTATCAGACAAAACAAACAAAATTTGAAAATTGTTGGTGTAAGTGCCTGTTTCGCAATATCTCCGGAATGGTTGGTGGTATCGTTGTGAAAATTGATTTATATTATTGGCGACGATCTCACCTATCAGACAAAACAACAAAATTTTGAAAATTGTTGGTGTAAGTGCCTGTTTCGCAATATCTCCGGAATGGTTGGTGGTATCGTTGTGAAAATTGATTTATATTATTGGCGACGATCTCACCTATCAGACAAAACAAACAAAATTTGAAAATTGTTGGTGTAATTGCTGTTTCGCATATCTCCGGAATGGTGGTGGTATCGTTGTGAAAATTGATTTATATTATTGGCGACGATTCTCACCTATCAGACAAACAAACAAAATTTGAAAATTGTTGGTGTAAGTGCCTGTTTTCGCAATATCTCCGGAATGGTTGGTGGTATCGTTGTGAAAATTGGATTTATATTAATTGCGACGATCTCACCTATCAGACAAACAAACAAATTTGAAAATTGTTGGTGTAAGTGGCCTGTTTTCGCAATATCTCCGGAATGGTTGGTGGTATCGTTGTGAAAATTGATTTATATTATTGGCGACGATCTCACCTATCAGACAAAACAAACAAAATTTGAAATATTGGTGTAAGTGCCTGTTTCGCATATCTCCGGAATGGTTGGTGGTATCGTTGTGAAATGTTTTATATTATTGGCGACGATCTCACCTATCAGTTGGACTAGCTCGGCTGGCAGCGAATTCCAGCTTTTGACAACTCTTAAGGAGTAGAAATTGTGTCTACATTCCGTCTTGCTATGTTGTGTTTCCAGTTTCTGGGTGTTACCCCTTAGGTTGTTATTCGAACTAAGCTTAAGTAGGTGTTTAAGAGGATGTCCAGAAGTGTTAAGAATACTATAAGCCATTAATAAATCACCTCTAAGACGCCTATATTCTAATGGGTAAAGGTCTAGTGAACGGAGGCGTTCTTCGTAAGGCTTAGATTTGAGTCCTCGAACTGATTTCGTGGCTCGCCGTTGGATACGCTCCAAAGTGACCTTGTCCTTTTGGAGTGAGGGGGGAGTACTATGTTTCCGTACTCTAAATGGGGACGGATGAAACTATTGAAGATTGTGTGGAAAGTTCTTCCGTCAAACTGGCCAAAAATGCGCCTCAACGTTACCAGTGCAAGGTTTGCTCGGAAGGCATTTTTGTCACAGTTGGCGTAAGACTTCAAATCATGGGGCACCAGGACTCCTAAATCTTTTTCGACTTGGGATACTACTAGAGAGGAGTTTCCTAAGTTGTAACTGTAGTTTGCAACATGTCGCAGATGGACTACTTTACACTTTGAAGTGTTAAAGGTAAGTCCGTTATCGTCTGCCCAACTTTGAAGTCGAGTCAGATCCTCCTGAAGTGCCTGTGTATCGTCTTGGTTGCGTATCTCTCTCCAAAGTTTCACGTCGTCGGCAAAAAGTAATAAATCTGACGTTACCTGTTGAGGAAGATCATTTATGTAGATCAAGAAGAGAAGAGGCCCTAGTACTGAGCCCTGGGGGACCCCACTAGGACATTCCATAGCCTGAGATAAAGTGAAATTAACCCTAACCTTAAAGTGTCGATTTTTTAGGTATGAAGTAAGCCAATCGATTAGGGTGGTTTGATACCTAGTCGTTTGAGCTTGTTGATAAGACACAAGTGGTTAACCTTATCAAAAGCTTTTGAGAAATCAAGGTAAATGACATCAACCTTTCCCTTGCAATCGAGGATGCTTGTCCATCTGTCCACCGCAGTCAGCAGGTTGGTTATACAAGAGTAACCCTTCCTGAAACCATGCTGTTGGGGTGAGAAGAAATTTAAGGACAGTAGATAGTCATTTAAACCGTCGCATATCAGGGACTCCATGAGTTTTGAAGGTAATGACAGAAGAGCCACCGGCCGATAACTTGAAGGTTCATTGCGTCGACCACCTTTGAAAATTGGTGTGATGTGAGCCAACTTCCAATTTTCCGGTAATTTGCCTCGGCTAAGCGAGTGAGAAAACATCACGCTAAGCGGCGTTGCCAGGATTGAGGCTGCCTCCCTCAGTATGGCAGGATGAACCGTATCCGGGCCAGGAGAAGTGTCTAGTCTTAAGTGCTGCAATTTCCGGAACACCAAGTCAGCGCTTAGGTCCACTTCAGAAAGTCCTGTGGAATTGCAGATGAAACTGTCGTCAGTAAAGTTGATGTCAGCCGGTTGAAATGTTTGAGAGTAATGTGCCGCCAGAAGGTTAGCGGCGTCGCCATCGTTGTTGGTCGGGCCGTTAAGACCTAGCAGTTGAGAAACTCCTGTTTTGGCTTGACGAAGAGAGGCTGCATAACGGAATAAGCTTCTAGGGTTAGAGGCGAATTTGTCCATAAGCTTTGTTTGGTACTGAAGCCTGTCTTCTCTTATAGCCTTCGTGCATATGTTCCTGATATGTTTATATTGCCTATACGCTCCATCGTTATTAGTTCGTTTGTATTCCGCCCAGCAGTGCCTTTTGCGGCTTAGCAGGCGAAGGGTACGGTTCTTGATTACTGTAGGTGGCTTGGAGCTTTTGGGAACCGTTTGAGGAACTGAATGGTCTGTAGCACATAAGAGCGTGTGCAGTAAGAAGTCCCAATGACCATCCACATCGAGTTGAGGGTGAACATCCCAAACCACCTGTTGTAGATAGTCATGTCGGCAGTTGGCTTTCTGTAAATGACTCCGACTAGACACCTCGAAGTACTAGACAATCTTACAGAGCACCATATGGATTCCTCAAGATTGTTAAACTCGAGGTTGTGAACTTGGTGCACCTCCAAGCAAGAGCTTATGTATATGGCTACTCCACCCCCAATTCCTGTTTTTCTGTCGTTGCGGAACAAAGTCATCCCAGGTAATGCTAACTCTTGGTCCGAGAACTGAGAAGATATCCAGGTTTCAGATA